CAACGAGAAATCCAATCGATTAAGTTGTGATAAACGTAAGGCATTCGTTTATCGATTCGGACCATTACCTTGTGGCTGATAAGGTTCGCACCCGTCTTAATGTAGCAGAAAAAGCAGAAATCTAATGTAAAACGGAAACTCGACGTCGAAAAGCTGCAAACACAACAGGTAGCAGAGGCCTACTCCGCTCAACTTATCCACGTGCTTGACGAAAGCACTCCTTGTCCTGATAATAACATGGAAACATAATGCCCAGAATTGCCCATTCCCTATAAACTGCGGCAAAAGCAACACTTAGGTATCAAAGACCATCAAGAAATCTGTGATACGATCAGGAGTGTCGTAATGTTACTGATATGAAAAACGCAGTGTATAGGGCAATCCCAACACGTAATGCAATGGAGAATTATCGGGAGAAATGAGAGAGGAGAAACGTATTTTCAGAAAGAACAAGAAAAACGTGAGCGTAAGCAAATCGAGATTCATAGGAGTCAGAATGATGTCCGAAATTTTTACCAAGGAGTAAAACACCAAACCGAAGGCTTTGGTGCAGGCACATCCTCCTGTAGAGATGAAGAAGGAAACCTGGTGACAGACACAGACAGCGTGCTGAGGATCTGAAAGGAGGATTTTGAAAAACTTCTGGTATCAAATAGTGGCGGTGAAGAGGACCAATAATAGATGACGGTATAGAGTGTATACCACCTAGCCATGATGAGGTCAGAATAGCAATCAATCGGCTGTAGAATAATAAAGCAGCTGGTGCCGATGGGTTACAAGTCGAACGGAGCATGTGTGTGGACGACTGAAGCCAATGGTCAATGACATTATTGGACCATACCAATGCCGCTTCAGACCTGGCTATCCAGCATTGACCAGATTTTCACTCTACGCCAAATCCAGGAAAAGACCCACGAAAAATACATCGACACATACCACCTACTCCTGGACTACAAAGCTGCATTCGACTGCCCAATCCGCTAAGAAGTGTTTAAATCCATGTCTGCGTTAGGCATTCCTGCAAAATTAATACGGCTATAGAGGATAACTTTAACTGGCACAAAGTCAGCAGCAGTTAAAGTCGAAAAGTACCTCTCGGAACCTTTCAATACCGAACGAGGATTCAGGCAAGGTGATGGTTTGTCGTATGACCTTTTAAACATTCTGCTGGAAAAGGTCAAACGAGATGCAAATGTGACCAAGACCAAGCTGATGGTATCAAAGCGTAAGACGTCCAGTAAACTCGGACCCACCGTGGAACTTGGAAACTACAGCCTTTTTTATATACCTCGGTACCACCATTAGCAAAACTATTAACATCAGCTTTGAAATCCGGAGAAGAAAAATGTTGGCCAACAGATGTTACTATAGCCTGAGTAAGCAATTCAAAAGCAAGGCCACCTCTCGCCAGAGGTGTATGGATCAGAAGCATGGGTACTTGCGAAAGCAGATGAGACAGCGTTTGGAGTGTTTGAGAGAAAAAATCGCCGAAAGATATGCGGACCGATCTGCATCGAGGGTGAATATCGGTGTCGAAAGAAACACAAGCTTTACCATCTATACACGGACATCGACATAGTCAGTCGTATCGAGCTGCAGCGATTACGTTGGCTAGGCCATGTTGTGCGATTGGATGAGGATGCCACAGCTCAAAATGCATATAAAAGCGAGCCTACTAATGGTTCAAGCAGAAGGGAAAAGTCACGAATTCGATAGAAATATCAAATGGAGGATGATATAACACGGCATGGTCGTTCATATTGGAAAAACTGCCAACAATATCGACTCGCCAGGAAATCTTTAGTTAAGTTCGGCATATGGAACAAATGTTCTGTCTTGATCTAGCTAAGTAAGAAAGTCTGACGATGCATCATAATTTTTCGTATATTTTTTGGTCTTGCCATCCTGAATTTAATATGTCATTCCATGTTCTTGAAGTTAAAATATACATTTGAAGCCAAGTTTCAAAATATGTTCAGTTTTTGTCTTAGCACCTATGTAAAACGTCCCCTCGATTTCAGATATTTTTAAGGAACTAGTATCATGTTATCAAGCGATATGATTATTCCAATATCAAAAATTTTCCGCTCATTTTTTTGGTTATTGAAAGTTCTTTCCGAATTTTCCAACATATATGTCCGCAATTAAGTACATATTTATTTATTTTTGTTCAGAAGATAAACAAACCTCATGGCGGATAATTTTCAACGTAGATCCATGTTATGGCAAATCCATGTTAAGGTCTCCATGTTATGGGGACCTTATAAGGGATCCGTCCGACTTTAAAATGATCACATATAATGATCACTTTAAAATGTTCACATTGCACATCGAATTCAAGTAGAAATTACCCACCATGACAGTTAATCGAGACATCAGCTGCGCTAAATGGACTACCTATTAATTGTGCCATGCACACCATAATATACTTGTGATTACATTTCGTCTACATTTAACTCCTAAAAGTATGCAATATTTTTGAATATTTCTTTCTATAAATATGCCAGAATCTACAACTACTATAAAATGTTGGCAATTTTTATACCCTTCACCACTCTGTGGTACAGGCTATTATGTCTTTGTGCATATGTTTGTAACAGGCAAAAGGAATCGAGATAGACACATGGTTCCTTTTGAGAATATGCATAGAATCACTTTCTGAGTCGATTTGCGCATATCCGTCTGTCCGTCCGTCCATGTATTTTTGTTAACAAAGTACAGATCGCATTTATGATCCGATTTGGATGAAATTTGGCACAGTTCACTTATTTGGCCCAATGACGAACCCTATTGAAATTGGAGAAAATCGGTTCAGATGTATGTATAGCTCCTATATATAGTTTCGTCCGATTTTATGTAAATGGAGCACGGAAGCACAACATTTTGCATAGAGTACTGAATTAGGTCCAGACTAATGTATGCAAAGTTACTCCCAATATTTGTCCGATAGAGACAAAATTTTGCACAGATTACTGAATTAGGTCTAGATTGATGCATGTCAAGTCTTGTATTGGATTTTTTTATCGATATAAATTTTGGATAACGCACTGTGATACAGCATAGGAATTTCAGATTGGTATGTGAGATGTTTAAAATTAGTCTATGTCTATTCTATCTAAAGGATATTGTACATATGAGCATCTCTTGTATGTACTCAAAGTGTTGATGGGTGGTATCATATAGTCTGTCCCGTCCGACTTTTGAGATTTCCTTACTGGTTTACTAGGAGGTACCAAAGAGAATGGAACGATGGTTCTCATCTTTGGACATGAGCTAGGTTTGATAAAAGTTTTACAATTTGCAAAGGATCAAATCAACTTCAGTCGTTTGATATTGGATTAGGAATTAAAAAAATTGCATTGTAAGAAAAATACCGGCGCCCATCTTCGGACATAATGTAAGTACGGTGAAATTATTACGTTGTGCAAAGTGTCGTTTCAATAACAACAATTTTCAAAATGTTAGCCCTTTATGGAAGGAGTGCACCGATAAGTCCCATGTCCAATACGTTTATGGGTAATGACATAGACCCACACATCCCTTCGGAATAGCACACAAAGAAAATATTGAAGAATAGAAACGTAAAAAGGTTAACATAACATAAAAGTGTACTTCATATATTAGCGATTGTAATTTCAATCTTTCTAATATCAATTTAAATAAAAGATTTTTATTTTTAGTTCAACATTGATGTATTATTTTTTTATTACTTATTTTTCTTTTAATAAAATAGGTACTATTATTTTTAGATGGTACAAAACCTACATAATTCTTATTTTAAATAAAATAAATTGATGTTTTATTTTTGTTGTTGTATACAATAAAACAACTTAAACTTAGATTTATTGTTTTACTATGTAGTAGTAGGTAGGTACAGTACACTATGCGATATATATTTATTTATATACTACTATATAACAAAAAAATTGTGGTGTAAACAAAAACAAAGTTCATATTGTACAAAATATTATTTATATTGATTATCTTTCTTTTAATAATAATTACTACAATTTATAATTACTTATTTTTTCTTGATTATAGTCTTCTTTAAAAACTACATTTCTATGATTTGAATAAAACGATATTTTTTTCAATTAATTACAATATAAAGGTAAAAATTAACGAGATTTAAATTTTTGAAAATAAAAAAGGAGAATAGAAATGACAAATATAAATGTCTTTACATGAAACGATGTAGTGGTGAAAATCAGTTTTTTAGTAAATTTAAGAAGTATGGAACGATTGCATATTTTGTGATATACGAAATATGCCTATTAGCTAAGCGCACAACAAAACAAGATACATTTATATAATGAAGTAGTTGTTGTTATGTTTCTTTAAGAAAACAACAATTAAAAAGAAAATGCAAAATGGTACGTTCATTGTTGTGTAAAAATATATGTATAGTATGTATATAGTAATGAATAATATATATTGAACGACATGTTTCATCTATGTGGTAAGCATGTAGTTATTTTTCCATAATCAAAGTATCCTTCATGACTAATTATATTTTCTATATAATTGGATACTGAATTTCTTAAGAGATAATATTCTGTTTTTTTTTATTTTATATATAAATCTTTTATTTTTTCTTCTTCTTTTATACGATAGTAATAGTTTACATATTTTTTTTAACTTCACTTCTAATATAGAAATAATTCATAGTTTAACATCATCATCATCGTGTTCATTATCTTGAGCTTTTGTGTTTTGCACACAACAAAAAATACAGCAACAAAAATAAAATACATTTTTAAAATATCATGGCAATGGATACAGCAATAACATAACAGTCTTTGAGATCTCTCTCGGTCTCGGTCTAGGGCTCGCTCTCTATGGTAACTCGCCTGCTGCTGCTCTCTCTTCTCTGTAGAGGCTAATATGTACTAACTTAAAGGCATCGGCCGGATACCAGCCACACACATTTAAGTAAGATTATCACAGTCATTTTTTGATTTGAGGTCAAGCGTGGGGGAATGTAACGTCGTTGTCTCATCTTCTTTGGGCGAAGAAGAGTCAGCCCACTCCTATATGCGTTTACTCTTGGATGGATGTATAAACTTACATGACTTGCCTAGGCGGCAATGACCACGCATAAAAGCCTTACAGATACCGTTGTTGTTATTGCCATTTCCGCCACCATTTCCACGATTATTTGGACCAGGGCCAGCTGGTCTCCAATTGCCACCGCCACCGCGGCCATTGTTATCTTGGAAGTTATTTATCCAATTGCCACCACCATTATTGCGATTATTGGGGCCATTCATCATATTGGGACCGTTCATCATGTTGTTGGGACCATTCATCATGTTGTTGGGTCCATTCATCATCATATTGGGACCGTTCATCATATTGGGTCCATTCATCATATTAGGACCATTCATCATATTCGGACCATTCATCATATTGGGACCATTCATCATATTGGGACCGTTCATCATGTTGGGACCATTGTTGCCCATTACACCAAAGTTATTGGCAGGACCCGTAAAAGGATTCATGGGACCAGGACCGCCAAATGGATTGTTGTTGTTATTACCAGGACCAAATTGATTATTGAAATTGCCAGAGGGACCATTATTCATCATGTGACCACGCTGTGGTCCACCCATATCCATAATTGGACTACCATGATTGTTGTTGAAGGGATTGGGACCACCACCACTACCCATCATAGGTCCATTGCCACCACCACCCATGCCATTGGGTGATCTTTGCCAATGACCTTGGGGACTATTTTGCATGGCATTCATTGGTGGGCCATTGGGACCAACCACTGGTCCTCCTCCAGAATTACCACCAAATGGATTCACATTGTTATTGAAAGGACTAACTTTGTTCGGCGCAGCAACATATGTTCCCAGGCCAACGGCATTATTGGGCGGTAAGGCACTACCCATCAGCGATTTGGGGCCTCCAAACATATCAACAGGACTACCTAAACCTCCAGTGCCAGCCATAATAGCAATATCTCCATCTTTTGGTGAACCTCTTGGCTCTGGCCATGGCATGCTTGTAAAGTCATTAACAGCATCGGGATTACCGGTCAAATCGTCCAATGGTATAAGTGGTATGTCATGATTGAATATGGGTTCAATTTCCGCTTCGGCTGGTGAGTCGGGAATGAGAGCATGCGTAAAATACAACGCCCGCAATGTAGTCATTTCACGTTCAGCTTGGATTTTCCTCTGTTTCGATTGGCTGCCATCTGGATGTGGTGGTACATCATCGACTAAAATCAATGGCCTCCAGGTGGTCTGGGGTTCCATGTTATCTTCCTGATTGAAGCCACGGCGAGCCATTACAATGGCATCACGTTCATTGAAACGTTCCAAATTTTTCATATCCATAAATGAGGTCTTGGTGACATTGACACGTTCGTTTTCATCAAGTTCGAAGAAACGAATCTGTTCCAATGATTCCTGGGGACGCCAGGTCAGCTTCTTCTTGGGACCCTTACGACGATGTAGCATAAGGACACCAGGTGGTCCATTGGGACCACAACCTGGACCAGGTTTTTTAACTACCACAACATCGCTGGCATTATCCGAAGATGCATCATCATTTGCCGTATCTTCTTTCGGCTTACCATCCTCATCTTTGGTAATATCAATAACTCCGCCCTCCGCCAAATCTTTTTTCTTCTCCTGTGCTACTTTTTGTTCTATGTCTTCCTTGACTTTCTTCAATGGAATGTCATCGTCATCATCTTCATTTTCCTTGTCGGTATTTTGATCATCGTCAGTTGTTTTCTTAGTAGGTTCATGATCTTCATTCTCTTTGTCCGATTTGGAATCTTCCATTTTGGATTCATCTAAGGTATCTTGATAGAATTTCAGTGGTGCTACCTTAGGCATATCGGGACTAGTTGGTGGGGAGGGACCTTCTTTGGCGCCTGTAGCCGAAGTGTTTGTTGGTAGCGGTGTATTGGCACGTTTGCGTTTAGCTACCTTTTTGGGTCCTGTCGCTGCCGATAGAGCATCTGAGAAGAGATTTGTTTCAACAAGTGTTTGTACTGTAAGGGGGAAAAGAAAGAGAGGAAAAATAAAATTAGTATTTTTATTTAAACAGAAGGGAGAGAGAGATAAATGAAGGATATAAGAGAAAACATGGCATCATTTCAGTGGGTGTTCAGCGGCTTTTGCAGTGTTCAATGGGTATTCTGAAAATAGATTTAAAAAATAAAGAAAAATTGCGATTGTCTTTTCTCTCTTTCTGTGTATATACTGAAGAGATGATACATGGGGTATATTGTAAAAAATCTAATAAGAAACTTAAGATTATTGTGTAATTCAATGTGTTTAAATGCATTTTTTAATTTTGAATCCTAGGAAATTAAACTTCGAGGCAGATGAGTACATGATCAGATGGTTAATACTTAAAAAATAGAACGCGGAATAACTGACAAAATTATTGGGATACTGAGTGATAAAATTGAAATTTGAAAATTGACTAAATATGAAGCAATGGAGCTAAAGAGTCATGAATACAGAAATACGTACATATACGGGAAAATTATAAAGATCTGTCTGCAATATATTCATAAAATAGAAACTTGAAGAAACATGAAAGCAATGTTGACATTGTCAAGAAGAGATATTTAACCAACTAGTAGCCGAAAATTGTAGGCTGAACAGATCTTGTTCAAAAAAAATTTAATAAATGAGGGAAACAGAGCCCAGCTCGTAATACTATAGATATTCATGTATAATTAAAGGAATTCAATAGTCATTGTGGAATAGAGGTGTCGAGATATCATTATACTAAAAGAAATAGTTTTTCGAAAAGGGAATATTTTTCCAATAAATCATTTGAATCAATAGTTATTGATAAATTGGTATTTTAATAAAGTATCATAATGGAATTATATCTGAAGTTCATATTTATCGACTAGATTTGCAAATAATGTATAAAAGAATCAGAATATGAAGACAATTTCTATATTTTTTGGAATTAAGGATATTTATACACTTGTGTAATTCATTTGGTACCTCTGAGTCATTTAACCTATTAACTTAATATATACAACATTCAATATAAACCCCAAAAAATAAACACACATTTAATAGTTCCTTTGAGCTTGGTGGTAGGTAGTATAAAATATCGCCTTAATAATGATTCAATAATTTCTCTATATATTCAAAAATTTTTGTAAATAATTTAAATAATTTCAATATTATCGATTTTATGTTATTATATTTACATTGCATATGGTTGGAAAAGAGATGATTCAAAATCTTTTTCGATATCCAATACATAAATCACACAAATCTTTACTTGGAGAAGGAAGTAAAAAAAAATTAACTAAAATCTGTTATGAAGATGATATAAAATAGAGGAGGACATTATAATTTGAAACGTTATAGTTACATTGCATTGCGGGAGAAAATCACATAAATCTTTACTTTGAGGAATTTATTATTCAATAAATTAATTAACATCTAGTATGGAAATTAAATAAGGCGGAAGGGGACATGATAATTCAAAGAAAATGTGTGTGTAATTTTGGTTTGGATTCTAATCCAGGAAAAATTCCAAAGAAGAATTTTAAAATCTAAAATAACATTAAACAAAATCGTCCTTATGGGACAAAATTAAACAAGATTATTAGATTCTAAATGATACCTCAAAAATATATGCTGATCTGTTTATTCGTTTTTGGAGCTACAGTGGGCAGTGCAAAAATCAATATTTCAATGCTGACATTTGTAAGAAAACTGTGTAATATAAAAAAAAATCCGAAAGAAATATCTTATTTAAAGGATTGGTATGAACAAAATAACTTCTTTAAAGAATCGGTAGATTTCTTATCTTTCTTAAAAAAAAGCCTTTAATATGAGACAGTACGAAAAAAACATTTGAATGTAAAAAATAACAGAAGAATTATTAGCTAAATAAAGTTATTAATTTTAAGAAGACTTTATAAGAAATGCCAAGCTGTCAAGTTATTAAATTAAGATCTAGAGTTATTCCTTGATATTATCCTCAAAACGTTGAGTAATATTTGCGTTAATAAGTCTACATTGAAAGTTGATTCATATTACGATTAATATTTTCGTAATTTGCACATACATTTACCAATGATATTTGTAATATTTTCTTTACAATATAAATCTAAACTTTAATAACATCCAATTAGTCTAGTAAAATTCATGATATATTAATGAATATTTTGTGTGAATCATGAATTGAACAATTGGGAACTAGAAATGTACATAAATGCAATAAAGGCAGTAATTTATATAACCTCAAAAACAATGAAACGTTTTTTCATTCCAACACTTTTTATGGAATTGGGGGGTTAGAACTATATATATTGAAGATAAATAAGATCTAATTAGTCTAGTAAAATTTGTGATATTTTAATGCCTCTCTTGTGTGAAGCCTGAATTGAACAACTAGGAACTGGAATTGCACATAACAATAATGAATGCAGATGGCATAACCTCAAAAACAATGAAACTTTTTTTATTCCACTTCTTAAGGCATTGGGCGTTAGAAATATATATTTAGAAGTAATAATTGTCTTGAAACCTGAATAAATAATTGGAAACTAGAAATGGGCATAAATGCAATGAGTAACATAACCTCAAAAACAATGAAAATTTTTTTTCACTTTTTATGGAATTCATATAATTAATAGAAATGTCCTTGTCATAAAACCCAAATGTGGACAATAATTGTGTAATACCAATAAACTAATACTGAGAAGCCTAAATAAATAATTGGAAGCTAGAAATGTGCAGAAATGCAAAGAATGCAGTGAGTGACATAACCTCAAAAACAATGAAACTTTTTTATTCCTTTTTTAAGGCATTGGGTATAAGAAATATATATAGAAGTAATAATTGTGAGAAGCCTGAATGAACAATTGGGAACTAGAAACAATGAAACGTTTTTTATTCCTCTTTCTATGAAATTGAAATAATTATTAGAAATGTCCTTTTCATAAAACCTGGGAGTAATGCCCAGAATCTGAAGAATGGGTATTACAGTTTTCATATTCCATATAGATCGACAGTCCTTCTATAAAAATGATCGAAAATAAGTGGGATACAAAAACTCGTCTTCCAATAGAAGCATACAAAAACAAAAAGACGGACCATGTCCATATACACTTAAAATTCATTGTAATAAAATTATTATCGATGTGATATATTTATGAAGTTTGGAAGTAAGGAAAAATGTATGTGTGTTTGAAACAAACTCAATAATGATATATCCTTCTACTTCACTAGATCACTTGTAATGAATTCATATAGAATGAATATATAGGAAATAATGAAGGTATAACATAACCTCGATTTTATAAAACACATTCATTAGTAATAGGAAGCGTATGTAACATAAAGTTAATGGATAGCTTTTTATAGAACATCGTGGACAACAATTGAAGACCGGAAATATTGAAAGTAATAGGCATATGCGATGACGCAACCTCCAATTAAAGATTACTTTATACCTTGAAAGATCTACGGCAAACGTAATATTCAATGAATTTAATTCTGACATGGAATAGTGGAGGATATTGAGTGATATAAATTTCATAAAAATGCATTCAACTAATGGAATGGTTGGTGGTTATGCCAATTAGAAACATGTTAATAGAGGATCTCTCTTATCCTCCATTGAATGAAAGAAGTATGCAATATTTCATCTTTTAAACAAAAAACAAGCAATCCTAAATCTTCATAAATTCTATCAAACTATCTAACATTCTTTGCAAATATTGCATCTATCTCCCTATCACCTATATAATATTGGCCCCTGAAAATCAACAAGTCAAGTAACAGCAGTCAGCAGAGCACAGTGTGTGTAACAAAATCAATCTTATACAACCATAGCAAAATTGCTCATTACTACAGGCGTGACGACGACTACTACCAAACTTCAAGGACTATTCATCATATTTTATGTATTGTTTTTTGTTTTGTATGTATTTTATTGATTTTTTTCTTTTGCAATAAATAATAATATCTATTATTGCAGATTCATTTCATTTTTTCTTTTGATTATAGTTAATTTAAAACTAGGTGTAAATTAGAGTAAAATAATAGGATATATATGTATATTGTATTGTATACTTATCACATAGTTTGCCATACATCACCCGTTAAACAACCCCTTTTTCGACGAGGGGGGTTAAACACCACACGCGTATATTCATCGCGATCACCAAAAACAAAAAATAAAAATTGCTTACAAATTTTTGTAACGCCTTGCTCGTAAATTTGTGTGAAGCTTTGTAGCGCGCGTCGTTTTCATGTTGTTAGGAATGATAGTGGTGGTAAGTGTTGGAAAAATACGTTGCCATTTGCATTGAAGATTTTTGCAATGCCCATGAGAGTGTGAGAAATGTTGTTGATTTATGCACAATGTTAAAAAAAGGTGGAAGCAAAACGCGTGTGTGCCACCTAGATGTATTATTCGAATGTTTTGTATCATCAGGGAATTACTCCGTTGGGAAATTAATTAAGTAATGTCATCGCACACTTCGTTTACTTTTGAAAGTTTGTTTGAAACCTCGGCACGACGGTACCTACTTTGGAATACTGAAGCCATCCCTTTTTTGAGGGTTACGTTCAGCATGACCCTACTACTATCCAATTTCTAAATGTTATAACTTCTTATGCACTTAAAAATAGCTTCATAGAATGAAGACACTACGCGCTACATTTATCTAGGCTTGTATATTTCAAACCCCGCGTTATCATTTCAAATAATTTCAACAATTGATCGCATTCAATGGAAACAAAGCTATTCCAATTCCAATATGTGGAGTTTCAACTATTCATTGCATTCAATGGAAACAAATCTATTCCAATTCCAATATGTGGAATATAAGGCCCACATGTTGTGGTCGGCAGAAGCCAGGGTTTAATTCCGCTATGACGTGAGGATCTTATAAACCCAACATCTTTGCTCATTATCTACATGCCCGTTAGGCATTTCGGAATATAATCAACTCTGCTATAAACCCCTTAGTGGTGATCAGCAATAGCCACTTTTCCAGTG